TCCTCATTTTAGAGACAGGCTTTCCTGTAGTCCAAGCTGACCTCAAACTCACTATCTGTGCAGCCAAAGCTGTTTTTGAACTCCTGATGCACCTCCATCCAAACAAAAAGCTTAACATCATCATTTTCTTCAATTAATTGTTTTAAAACCTAACCGGGTTTGTTTGCATGGATGCAGGTCAAAGTGTCTGTTCTTTTTTAGGAGGTTTCAGCTGTGTGTGTGTGTGTGAGAGAGAGAGAGAGAGAGAGAGAGAGAGAGAGAGAGTGTGTGTGTGTGTGTGTGAGAGAGAGAGAGAGAGAGTGTGTGTGTGTGTGTGTGTGTGTGTGTGTGTGTGTGTGTGTGAGCAGAGTGCTGAAGAACACCGTTACAGTCCTGCGTTTTTATCCTGGTGAACGGGCCTTTGGGCATATGACAGTGCTGTGGCATTCTTTCTGGCTTTGACTGGAAGGTCAGAAGTGCAGTTATTTGGAGCCAGTGTGTGGTGGCCCTGGGCAGGCCTCAACAAAGGGGAATTTGTCCCTTAGTAAAGAATTGGAGGAATCCCTGAGTTGGTGAGGCGATGGCTTGAAGAATGGCTGCCTGGGCCTCCCTGAATGTGTTCTGTGGCTACACAAACCCTGGCTCATGTGTTGAATTCTGGTGTCAGAGACAGCCCCTGTGTGAGCCTTGGTCAGTCCCTCCCTCCCCTGAGGGACTAATGGAGGAGCAGTGAGCAAGTCAGAGAGGAGAGCTGGCAGAGACAGGTGGAGGAGGGTTTGTCTAAGGCATGTCCACCAGAGGAGGCAGCAGGACCAGAGGTGCCAGAAAATTTCGGTCTTGGACAATTACATTTCATAAATACCTGTGGCACTCAGACTACTGAGGTAAAAGCTTCGTGAAAGCTGGGTCCTTGCTTTATCTCAGAATTCCTCCATGCCCATGCTATACTGTGCAAGATACAAAGCTGCGTGGAGAAGCCAGGCACAGAAGCTCAAAAATGGCTCCATCCCATTATCTGGTGTCCCCAGGAAACCAGTCCCGAGACTTAGGCTTGCGTGGGGAGGGAAGATTGTGCAGAGACTTAGGCTTGCGTGGGGAGGGAAGATGATTGTGCAGAGACTTAGGCTTGCATGGGGAGGGAAGATTGTGCAGTGGGTAGTGGTTTCACGGTAGAGACATGGCTTGTGCTGGAGCTGGGCAGTGGTAATAGCGACGTGGTGTTTGGACATAATGCCACCAGGACAAATCATATTTTGTTCATATTTACCACACTAGAGATCTTTCCCTGAGAATAATTGTGTGTGTGTTGCATGTGTATGCGTATGAACCCACTTACCTGTGTATGTACACACACGCATTGACCGGAGACCAATATCAGTTGTCTTCCTCCACCTTATTTTCTAAGACAGAATTTCTCACGAACTTGGAGATCACCATTTTGGCTAGTCTGGCTGGCCAGGAAGCCCTCAGGGTCTGGCCATCTTCTCCCCATTGTGGATCTGGATTCAAGTCCTTGTGTTGGTGCAGCTCCCTGGCCTACAGGTGACTCTTGGAGTGTTGCATTTTTCTTCTCTCCTTTCCCTCTCTTGTTCTTGTTTTCTCTGTGTCTTTCTATACCCCCCCTCTCTCACACACATACACTGCTAGGGCTCAAACTCCAGGATCTGGCACATCTAGGTCAGCACTGCCACTGAACTAGACTCCAGCTCCAGGTGGCTTTGCGATTACAACCGGAAAGTAGGTGAATGTGGCAGGCCATAACCAAGCTCTCCAACTGGCCCCATCAACCATGGGACAGACTGACACTCTGGGTCTGCTGGTGGGGTATACTAAAGCCACATTCCTTATGTAGCATTCCTGCTGAGGAAACAGCCTGTGTGGATCTCTGGGTGTGATAACAGTCTTAGCTATCAACTTGAGATGTGGAATCCCGGGAGACAGCCCCTCCACCATGCAATGCCTGCAGGGATTGTCTTGACTAGGTTAACTGAGGTGGGGAGAGGCTCCACTGTGGGTGGCACCATGCCTTGTGAATGCATCCTCCACTGCACAGAAAGAAGCAAGTGGAGGACCGCTCCACCCCTTTCTGCTTCTTCAGTTCTGATGCTGCTGCCTCTGTGGCTTCCCTCAGGCACCCGTCCCTCTGTTCCTTTGTTGCCTCTGGTTTCCCTGACTCTGGTTTCCCTGAGTGACAGTTACAACCTTGAGCTGTGAGTTGTCATCAGCTGCTTTTTTTATTTTGTCACAGCAACAGGAAAGGGAACTCAGAAATGGAGAAGCCAGCTAAATGGGATTTGAAATGAGATGTTTAATGAATATATGGACTTCAATCAACATGTAATTATGCAATATAATTATTAAAATGCATTTACCTATGGAAAAAAAGTGGAGACGCATCACGAGTGTTGGTCAGGCTTTCTGTTGCCCAGGACAACAACTCGAAGGAGGAAGGCTTCATTTGGGCTCTTGTTTGAGAGGATTTGGTCCACTGACTCCATTGATTCTGGGCCCATGGTGAGGCAGAGCATTGTGGCCAAAGGGTTGTATGGAGGAAGAGGATCTCCCAGAAACAGGAAACAGAGGAGAGAGGACTAGGGACCAGGTAAATCTTCCGAAGGCACACCCACTGAGATCTGTTTCCTCCAGCTAGGCCCCGCCTCCCAACGTTTCCACATCCCAATGTCATTATATTATGAATCCTTTGGGGGATGAGTCCATTCCTTTGGTCAGAGCCCCTAAAACCCAGTCACTTCCCAAATGCCTGCCAGCTGGTAGCCAAGCACTTCATATTCAAACTATAGCAGCCAGCATGCCAGGCATCCCACAAAGATGGCCAATTCTCTTAAGCCCTGTCACTGTCATGACAAAGAGCGAGGGGCAATTTTAGATTGAAGAGATTTCGGGCCAAAATGGAGCCTATCATCTTGAAGTAGGAAAAAAAATTACAGAGATGTGACTGGGCTGTCTGGAGATGTGTGATGTGGATGATGAAAGAGATGATGGCATTGTGTCATGGTAGATTTGGTGGTGAGAACATGCATGCGCACACATTTGTGCACGCGGAGGTGAGTTCACACGTGCCACAGTCCGCATGTGGGGGTCAGAGTGTCCTCAGCTGTCAGTCCTTGCTTTCCACCTGTGTAAGACTGGGTCTCTTTGTTGTTGTTTCTCTGCTGTGTGATCCAGGCTAATTGTTGTTTCTCTGCTGTGTGATCCAGGCTAATTGGGCCCCGGGCTTCCAGGAGCTCTCTTGTCTCTGCCTCACATCTCACAGGAAGAGCACATATGCTGGCATCACTTCGGCCAGCTTCTAACTGGGATCTGGAGATCTGAACTCAGGTTCTCACACTTGACTGGCAAGCGCATTTCCACAGAACTACCTCTCCAGTCCTTAATTATGTTCTTAATTCGGATTATCACACTGGCTATGTAAGGAAACATCTTCATTTTCCAGAAATACTCAGTAAAGTATTTAGATAAAAAGAAGGTTGGGTTTAAGCAACTTACTCTCAAGTATTTCAGAAAAAGTGTGTGTGCATGCATACAAACTCACGTGTATATACACTTGTGTGTGTGTTAGTCCACTAAAAATTAAGATTTCATCACAGCACAAACAAGGCCTAGTCTGAAGCATTGTGTTTAGACAGTGAGATTAAAAGTTAATTTTATTTCCTACACATTTCAGTAATAGAATCAGTTTGCAAATTATTGATATGAAAGAAGGAGCTATGTGTGATTTGGGGGGTGAACTTTTCCAACCCCATTAAAATGACATGTTCAAATGACACTTGAGTTTTGTTGACCGATACAATGGTCATGTTTGTAAAACTCTCAAAGGTTTCATCAGTTTTCACACCAATGTGACCTTTAACTCCGAAATACTCAAAGCATCCCTTTGAATGCTTTTTTTCCTTTCTGTATCACATATCACCTATGTTTGTTCTCTCCCTATTTTGCTATGAAGCAGCCTGGCTTGGACAGGTTCTCATACCCTGAGTATCTCCCTTCCCCTGGAGCTGGCCTGTCTTTCCTGAGTGTGGCACAGGGCTTTGATTTCACTTTGCAGTTGCTTCCTGTTCTATATTACTCAGATTGTCCACCAGAGTTTTTAAAAATTACCTAGAAATCTCAGGAGCTGAACATCCAGAGTCTTGTAAATCATAATCCCAGTCTAAGGTATGAGGCTTCAGTGTTATCTAGCTGCACTGGCCCATCCTAAGTGCAAGGGGTTCTGGGAAGTGTAGTCTTCATGTGAGACGAAAGGAAAATGAAATCACTGCTATACATTGTATGTTTATTTCAGGAGCCAACATTGTTTGAATATATACGTAAGTTTAACTCAGTGGCACATACCTTTCTGATCTCAGCAGTTGGGATGCAGAGGCAGGTGATCTCTGTGAGCTCCAGGCTAGCCTGGTCTGCATAGTGAGATCCTGTCTCAAAAAAACCAAAACCCCAAAACCAAAACAAAATGTCAGTGTGTGCATGTATGTTGTGTGATATGTGTGGGTATACATGGCACAGCACACATGTGATGGTCAGGGGACAGCTTTGTGGAGTTGCTTTCTCCTTTGACCTGTAAGTGGGTTCCAGGGATTGAATCCAGGTTATCAGGCTTACATTGTTGATGTGACAGTGGGGGCCATATGTCTGGCCACTGTTGCTTTTGAGGCGGGTTCTTGTGTAACTCAGGCTGGCCTGTTGACCTCTAACTCACTGTGTTGCCAATTGCATGGAATTGTCCTCCGTCCTCCACTTTCCAAGTGCCGGGATGACAGGCGTGTGCCCCTCGTTCATGCAGCGGTGGGGACTACAACCCCGGGCCTCACACCTGCCAAGCAAACACTCCACAAGTTGAGCTACTGTCCAAGGTCTGAATTCGAGGTTTTAATTGGTCTTCCACCTAGATCCAGCAGCACAGAGGCTCTGGGTTTCGAGGCAAGAAAATAGGAAGAGCTGTCCTGAATCTTCTGAGATTCTGTTAAAAGCTGTTGATTTGAACTTTACCTTGTCGTTGGCAGGTTTGGATTTGTCTCTCCCTTCCTCTTTGGGTCCTCGCCCCTCTCTGGACTTCCCAGCTGCCGGCTCAGCACTCACTGCCCTGTGAGCATGTTGACGATTCTTGCCTTAGTCATCATCTTCCACGTCGGAATTTTTACACTGTTGCTCATTGCCACCATTAAAAGTGTAAGTTTCTGCTCTCGTCACCCACCTAGGAGTCATGGGCAGTAGAGACCATAGAGCAGGGTGGTGAGCGCGATCTGGGGTGTCCTCCCATCCTGGGCATGGAACATTGGAGCATCCTGCGCTCAGGTTTGGATGAGGTAAGACAGGGTAATGGTTGATATGATGCTTGCCTGCCAGAAGCCCTGGGGGAAGGTTGGTTCTCTACAGTTCTCAGCCTCAGCACCATTGGCATTCAGAGCTAGGGATTCTTTTTATCTATTGAATGTTTCTATTTCATTCTTTAAATGTACTTATTTTGTTTTTTTTTGTGTGTGGGTGTTCTGCCTACACACTTGTCTATGAGCTACCTATGAGTGCCTGGTACCCAAACAGCTCAGAAAAGGACCTTGGACCCCTGGGACTGGAGTTACAGATGGTTGTGAGCCACCTTGTAGGTTCTGGGAATTGAACTGGGGTCCTCTGCAAGAGCAGCAAATGCTCTTAACCACTGAGCCATGTCTCCACCTCCTATTTTACTTTTAAAATTAGGACACAAATTATGTTTTCTAAAGTTTTGCCTGTTATACTTTAGACAAGGAATTAATGTCTTAAATACATAAAGAACTGCAAAACCCGCTGGGCGGTGGTGGCGCACACCTTTAATCCTAGTACTTAGGAGGTACAGGCAGGTGGATCTCTGTAAGTTTGAGGCCAGCCTGATCTATAGATTGAGTTCCAGGACAGCCAGGGTTGCAGAGAAAAACCCTGTCTCTGAAAACAAAAGCAAGCAAACAACAAAAGGACTGTAAAACTTAAACACACACACATACACACACACACAGACACACACACACATACACACACACATACACACACACACACACAGCCATGTATGCATGCACACGCATGCACATGAGCACACATACACACCCAGACAGTTAATAAATGGACCAACAAGCTGAACAGAGAGTTCTCAAAATAAAAAAAGATACATGTAACAAGCCAGTAAATATATTTTTTTAAAGTGTTCAACATCCTTAGCCATAAAAGTAATGCAAATTAAAACTACTATGAGATTCTGCCTCAGCCCTGTCAGAATGACTACTGTCAAGAAAACAAATGACAACATTCTCTTTAGTGGTGTAGCCGCTGGCAAGTCGCCTGTGTAAATGACCCACACTTGCACAGACACCACCAATTAAACTCAGCGGGAAAGACATGAAAGTATGAAGGGACTTGTTGGCAATAAAAGGGGTTCTGTGAGTGTAGAGGGGGTGAGACGGTGATGGGGGGCAAAAGTACCCCAAATACATTGCATACAGTTAAATAATTTTTAAGCACCCCCTACCCCCCTCACCCCCCACTCCTGCCAAGCTTCCAAGGAGGTGAGGAGGTAGCAGGGTATGTGTGAGGTGGAAGAGAAAGGAGGCCGTGGGTGTGGGGATGCTAAGGACAGCTCAGGAGGATGGAGGAAGAACAGGGAGGGGTAGCACCGGAAACAAATTCACCTTGACAGTGGCGCAGTGAAGCCTGATACTGTGTCCCGACCGATTTTTTAAAATAAGGTAGAAATTAACTAAAAACAGAACTGCCACGTGCAGAACTATATTATACACCAGGAGGGTGCATTCCCAAAGGCCCTGTACCCCACCACAGAGCTGCTTGCACGCCTATGACTACTGCTGCTCTGCTCACAGTGGCTAACGATGTGATTAATTCACGTCAAGGACCGTCTTGTACCTTGCAGTGGCCTAGCAACATCCCTGGCCTTTGTCACTAGGTGTCAGTCTTGCTCATAGCTGAAGGGGTGTGTTTTCTCCAGATGTTGACAGCTGTCCTACAGGGAGCAAAATCAGCCTGGATAACCCATCCAGGCCACCTTCTCCCTGTCCCCTGCATCTTTTTACTAGCCAGGCACCCGTGCTACTAGGTCACTCACAGACTCCCTGGCAGATCTCATGAGTGGAGCTTTCTAAACTGTCCACAGGCCCCTGACATATAACTTGTTCTTTCAGGGTCCAATTAGCAGCTGTATTAGCAAGGGTGTATTTGATAACCCCTTGGCCCAGACAGGAGGTGATGCTTCTAACAGAGACCTGGTCTTGTCCCCAAGGCCTGGCTTCATCTGGTCATTTCAAACTACAGGAACTGTTAAGGGGAAGAAAACTGCTCGGAAGGCCAGGTCAATTGGGGAATCTCTAGGAGTGTGTGTGTGTGTGTGTGTGTGTGTGTGTGTGTGTGGTTTCCTGCATCTAGTCCTTTAGGATCCCAGACAGGTCAGTCTTAGTGAAAGGGTTGGATGGACATGGGGGTGTGTGGAATGTGCTCCCACACGCAGGGATTTACATTAGCACGACACTAAGCGAGGATGGATGGAGGTGTGCCAGCCAGTGAGTCAGCCGGCGTTTGGTATGCACTTGGAATCATGCTTGCCCTTGAGGCTGAATGTGAAGTGGGAGCAGGGGTGTGTGTGGGCCCAGTGGGTGGGAGGAGGCACCCAGCCCTTGAGGGATGGGGAGTGAAAGGCAGGAAGGACAGCAAGGGAAGCGGCAGGGACAGGAGTACAAGGAAACTTGAAGGCACTGGGCAAAGGCAGAGGGAGTCTCCTCTCTGCTCATCACAGGGCCCCCCCTTTTAATTTTCATTTTACTTTTTTATTGTTTAAATACTTTTATTTTATTTTTTGAGACAGGGTTTCTCTGTGAAGCTTTGTAGACCAGGCTGGCCTCCCAAAATTTAAACATTTATGTTTCTCATTCCTTTGGGGGGGGGGGGTATTGCTGTGGCACACATGTGGGGGTCAGAGGGCAGCTTTTTGGAGCTGATTCTCTCCTTCCATCATATGGATCCTGGGACCTAATCAGGTCACAAGGCTCGGAAGTAAGTGCTTCTCTTCATTCTTGAGCGGTCTCGCCAGCCCATGGGTACCTTTTTGAAGTTAATTTTTAGGTTAGCAGACAGAGTAGTCAGTTTCACGGTGGCATCTTCATACATGGGTGACATTATACTTTGTTCTCATTGGCTCCCCTCTCTCACTACCCTTCCTTGCCCCCCCTCCCCTCCAGTTGCCCCTTCCCCTTCCCCAGTTAGCCCTCCTTCTGCTGTCTAATCATGTGAATTCCATTACCTTCTATTTCCCACCTCTCTTAAATCCTCTTCTGGGTTCTGATCCTGGTCTTTGTCCCATAGCCTATGAGCACACCCCCCCCCCACACACACACACACTTGCAATCTAGTTCTTCATATGAGACAAACAGTGAATGTTTGTCTTCCTGAGCCTGGTGTGTTCACCCACTTTCCTGCAAATGTTGTGATTTTATTTTAGTTCGGTTGTGTACATAGGCCACATTTTTAGTATCCAGACATCTAGGCTGGGTCCATTCCCCAGCTACTGTGGCAGGCTGTCCCCTTGATGTCATCCTTTCTTCTACGCATTGTCCCTGCTGTTCTGGTAGAACTGGCCTGTTTTCTCTGATGGCTGCTAACTCGGTATGCTTTCCCCCCATGGGTCATGAGAGCATGGAACACCTCAGGTCCTTCCGAAGGCTTGCAGCCTGGCATCCCATGGGACTCAGTAAAGACCCAAAACTGACCTGAGGCCTTTTTGACTCGGAGTGAGCATTTGAATAAAGTCCCTGGGAGACCCACCTGTGGTCTGCCCTCTGAGAAGCTGTGAGTCCTGAGTAGGGGCCACATTTACTCCTTGACCCAGCAGGACTCAGGAACCGTGTCCTTAACCAGCAGCTTGTGTTCCCTTTGCAGGTCTGGTGGGTAGGAGAAACCTTCTCAGCAGACATCTGGAGAGTGTGCTTCAACAGCACCAACTGCACAGAGATCAGCGACCTGAGCGGCAGTGATGACTTTACAGGTGAGTGTGTGTGTGAGCCGAGCTTTGGTGCCCCATCTCCCCGAGAGCAGACCCAGGCAGGACCACCTCAGCCTGCCTAGGCGGCTCCACTTGCTCTCTGTCCCTGTGTGTCATGCCAATGTGAGCCCTGGAAACAGTCAGCTGTGGTGGGAAACAGGGTCAGCCAGGACAGCTCACTGTGCCCAGAGGCAGTGGATTGGGGCCTCTGCTGTTTGTGCCCCATGCTCTCCATGTGGGATTATTTCCATGTTTCTGCTCTAAAATCAGGGATCTGTGTCCTACCAGCTAAACTCAGCCCATAGCTGTTTGGTACGGCCCATGAGCTAAGAATGCTTTTGACATTTTAAAAATTGTGAAAGGAACAAAATCCCCAAAACAAAGAAAAAAAAGTTCAGAATCCTGAATTATTTATTGCCTGACTCTTTCCTGAAAAAAAAGAAAATCCTTCTATCTCAGACTTTTTCCACATATAAATTTATTATGCTAATTTATTCCAGTCCTACAATCAGTAGTAAACTGGTGTCCTGTGACGTGAAAACAGGGGAAAATGCTAGGCTAAAAGCCAGAGACCCTCAGTGAAGTCTGACCACACTGGCTCCTTCTGTCCCTGTATATCAAAGAACATGGCACATGTATAGAATTCAAAGGACAACCCACGGGAGTCAGTTCTCTCTGTCCTGGGCTCTAACTCAGGATGTTCAGAATGGGGGTGGATGCTGAGCTCTCTCCCCAGCCCAGTGCTAAAACAAAAACAGAAGCAACCCCAGTGCTAGCTGAGACTCTGGATCTGCAGGGGACACTGAACCCCCATGAGGATCCCAAAGGATGTAATATAGCAAAAATTTTCATGGAACCCTTGCACACCCTCCTTCTAGATTACTTACGACATTGAATACACTCTCTCTATGTCATTTTATCTGTGTGGATCTGGCCTGGTACATGGTAAATTCAAATTTTGCTTTCTGGAACTGTCTGAGTTCTCCCACAACCCACACACCTCAAAAAATGTTTGTTGAGCCCAAGAATATGGAGGACTAGCTTAGCAGGTGGTATGAGATGTTAACCCTGCAAATGAGCCGGTTCCGGAGGCCTCCAGGAATGCCGAAACCACAGCAAGGTCACACAGACACACACACACTGAGTTTCTGCTCTTTGTGCCCTTGCTGGTTTCACCCGTATTGCCAGCGTGGCCGCCAGTGGCATATTCTGCAACTCAATGCGAAGAAACCCTAATCTCAAAGGACATAGCCATTTTTCCTCATAAAACCAGTTTCTACATTTGCCTCATCACCAGACATGAATCACCTGGGATACTTGCTAAAAATATAGATTCTTGGCACCCACCCCACAGTGATGGCAGCTTAAACAAGCCACCCTGGATGGCTCCTTGGAAAGTTTAGTAAGTAATGTTTAGAGGCACAGGGTAACAGCCTTGGCCCACTTTGAAATTCCCCAGGAGACTCTAGAAGCCCCTAAATGAGTGTTCTTGTCGTCTGGTGTTCTGGTTCCTTTTGTCTCAATGAAGTCTGGTAATATTACTCTAGAGTAGGGCTGTCACTTACAAACATGGGAATACACACTTCTAAGGGCTCCTTGGCTCAATGAGCTTTGAGAACTGAGTATACTCCTAGCAAACTACATTGAAAACCAAGCAGAGTACATTCTTAACACCCCCCCCCAAGGTCCTTTGACCCATTCCCCCCAATCCCTAACCAGGGAGCCCTGTCTGCCTGAGGAACGGTTTCTCGCTTCTCCCTGGCAGCTTCGGAGGAGTGGAGTCAGGCGAAGATGTGTTTGTGTTGGAGAATATATTTGTTCACTACGAAGAATAAGGAAGCGGGGCCATGTGCTCTTTACCGGCCGAGGCTGTGCAGCTGGGATCCATGCTGTAAATTTCTCATGAGGCCTTAACAAGCCGTGTTCCCTCCAGCCAGTTTCAGGCAAACTAGGAAGCTGCAGGTTGAGCTCCAAGTGTTGCACTTTTAAGTGCCCCTCGTCCCTGTCTCCCCACCCCACCCCCCACCTCCGGGCTCCTGAGCCAAACAGGTCTGAGCCTGACCCAGAGCAGGAGGAAGTCAGAGTAGTGGGTTCTGGCTCCATCTTCTGGCCACATCGGTGTTTTGGGCAGGTGCCTGACTGGACTCTAGAAGGAGGTGGGCTGGAAGATTTCATAGCAGCACTCACTAGCGTTCAGCTGGCCAGGTGTATCCAGTCTGCGGCCTGTGGCCCACAACAGCTAGTGTTCAGAGGGCCCAACCAAGGCTGCGAATCTGCTGAAGACATGGGCTTTCCCTTGACTGTGCAGATCTCAGTGTGACATCTATACATGACATTGGACATGCCTGACTGTAGGTAATACGAATCTGCTGAAGACATGGGCTTTCCCTTGACTGTGCAGATCTCAGTGTGACATCTATACATGACATTGGACATGCCTGACTGTAGGTAATACGGCGACCCCTCTGTGATGCCTCGGTCCTCAGACGTGCCTTCGCCCTCTCCCCACAGATTACTCCATCATGCAGGCCGTGCAGGCCACCATGATCCTCTCCACCATCCTCTGCTGCCTCTCCTTCCTCATCTTTCTGCTTCAGCTCTTCCGCCTCAAGCAGGGGGAGAGGTTCATCCTGACCGCCATCATCCAGCTCATGTCATGTAAGTGAAACTGGAAGCAGTCTCTACTGCCTGCCATGGAAACAAAACAGTCAAGAACTGGATCTTTAAAGCGTACGTTTTCCCTGGTAGCCGGCAGTCTTGGGGGTCAGAGCAAGGCCTGCCCTCCCGATCCTTTTCCTGGGCTCCTCCTTATGCAGAGCCAGAGTGAACGAGAAGTCAGTTCCAAGTTCAGGCATAATCCCTCTGGCCAGACAGCTCATTTCTGAGACTCCCCTTTCTCTCAGGGTTCTGTCTCTTGCAAACACCAAGGCTATGGAGTCTTGCCTTCCTTCTCAGTCACCAGTTTGGATGACATGTAGATTTAAGGTTAACTCTGAACGAACAGACCATCAGCATCGTGTACATGCAGATTCCTTCATGCAGAAAGGAGCTCAGACACGCTCTTCTTATGTTGTGGCCCTGCATTGTGCCCCCACAAAAATGACTGGAGGAGGGAAGTTGGGGAACACCCAGAAGGGAGAAGCTGGCCACACACTTAATATGGAGGAGTTTGGGTTCAGTTGTGGGGAAAGGGAAGGTGTCCCCAAAGCATGAAGCCTGAGCTTGGGTTTTCTGAGAATAACAGCTGCAGTCTGCAGTGTGTTGTCTGGGTACAGGGAAGGGACAGTGTGCCAGGTAGAAGTCCTGGGATGAAGAACCTAGAGCTGGGAGGGCCGGAATGTGAAGGGGCCAGAATAAATGGGCTCTCATAAGCTGTGGAAGGGACTTGAGGTCTGTGACCTAAGCTGGTGGGAATCCATTAACAAGTGTTAGGCTAGTTCCAGGACACATCGTGGTCTGCAGTATATCTGACCCTTGGCTTGGTTCCTAACAGGTCTGTGTGTCATGATCGGGGCTTCCATTTATACAGACCGGCGCCAAGACTTGCACCAACAGAACTACCACATCTATTACATGATGCAAGAAGGCAGCTATGGCTACTCTTTCATTCTGGCCTGGGTGTCCTTCCCCTTCACTCTCATCAGCGGCCTCATGTACATGATCCTGAGGAAGCGCAAATAGGTTTCAGGAGCCCGGCCACTCTCCCCACAGTATGGCATACACATTCACGTAACCATTTTGTATATAATCATTTTTTGTGGTTTTTCTAGCAAACCTATTGTTTCCTTTAAAATCTTTTATAAAAAAAAAGAAGAAGAAAAGAGAGAGAAGAGTTTCTGCATTCTTGAGATCCGAGACCAGACCATGAAGGCTGGCATTCAACATGCAAGCCCACTGAAAGTCTCTGCAACGCCCAGCAAGATTCAGCAATGTGGAAATCCGCAGGATGCCTCTCACCCAAGGACCTGGGGTGGGGGTGTGGCCAAAGGTGGGAAAACTCTGTCTTCAGGGACAGGCTCTCTGTAGCTTTCTGCCCCGCCCCTCTCCCCCTGCCCATTCTACTCTGACAGCCACGGGTGGGATGATGAGGGGCCCAAGTGAGGGCTATCTATCCTCACATATTAACCCCTAGTTCATGTAAGAGGAAGGCAAAGACTGGCCCTGGTTTCTGTCTGTATGGGACCCAGAGCCCCAGTCTCCCTACAGTGAGTTAGGTCATCATGCAAACTTTCTGACAGGCTCCTGTTTGCCTTAAGCTTAGTGACCCTTCACTGAGATGACATGTTTAGGCGTTGAGTCTCCATAGGTAATTCCTTAGGGCATCTGTTGCATGCAGTCTCAAGTCCACTTCAAAGACCCTCAGGATCCCTCATCAAAGGGGTAGGCCTGCAGTATGCTTAGATACGCTAAAACTGGGGGGTCAGAGTCTTAGAGCCAGGGAGCAGAGCCACCCTGTAAATGTCAGCAGTCTCATCACACTGAGGTGGTCCCACTGCCAGCTACATCTTGGCCTCCACCAGCTCTTGCTGCTTCTCCCACAGCTGCTTATATCCGGGCCACTTGTGCCCCACCCCAGATCATAAGCCTCCACCCGGGAGGTGGGCTGGGCAGCTTCCTCCCTGACCTGTCCTGGAAGGACTCTCCTTTTCTTCTTGCCCTTCTTTCTAAGGTGGGTGCTTCCATTAGGACCCTATTTCTGGAGTCTCAGAAGATACATCTTGCATTCATTCATCTATCCATCATTCAACATGAATTGGTCTTGCCACATGTCAGGTCAAGGGAATACCTTTCAAAACAATTCCTCGTTAAACTCGTCTAGTGAAGAACACACACCAGAAACCAACTAGAAAAACTATCAATTGTGATGGAGCAGTAGGGACCCCACCAGAGTCAAAAACCTCCCAGGGTGGTAGGAAGCCCACTTTCTGCATGCTTGACTATAAGTGCCTTGAGGTATCTGTACTTGGGTAGAGGATCCCACACTTCCCACAGTAAGACAGCAGAGCCATAGTTTTCAAGATGGGCATCAAAGGAGAATTCCAGCTGCACTCCAAGCAATTCCAAAGATGCCCTGATAAATGTGACCCTGAGAAGGTTGTTAGTAGCCTTGGAGGAGTGATGTGCTATACCAGGTGACCCAAGAACTCTAGGATGGCAACCTTCTCCCTTTGGTACCCTTTCCCATCTTTTGAGCACCAAGTAAGAGAGGTGACTCTGGGACAGGGAGTGTAGATTTGTGTTGTTTAAACATCTTCGCATGTGAGCTTCTGTAAGGGGTCGTTTACCATTAGCTCAATCCCAGTGAGGCTGGGGAATTGGGTCTCAGTTGCTTTAGGGATACCATGGACACCTCCTCAGTAGATTGGCTTCCCTCCGTCCATCTCTCCTATCTGCTTTCCTTCCTTCCCTTGAAGAGACTGCCAAGGTGGTATGGGGAAGAGATAGAGCAAATGACCACCTCATGCCTTGGATAACTTCCCACAGCTCACTGTTGGCTAGCTGGTAGGGTTGGCTCAAAGTCTTGTGAGGCTCAAGGAGGGAGGCCTGTAAAGTGTCCTCTACACCTTCCTGGTATGGACTTTTCTGCCATAATGTCCTATAGTCACGATGGAAACAAACAGACCAACCTGCAGGCATGAGAGTGTGGTCTGAGCCAGCATGAATTCCCACTTCAGAAACCCGGAGCTGCAGAAGGAACCGTCCGATGCGATGGGCATGGGCCTGTGGGTTGTCTTGGCTGCTTGCCACTGTGGCCCACATCAGTGCCCACATCTATCTGTGACATGAGAGGTGCCTATCCTCTGCTCTGTGTCCCACACTTGGGACACTAGAAAGAGATGCGGGTGTGAGGGAGAACAGATCCACCCTTCTCTGTAGGATCAGCTCTCAATTGGTGCTTATCACTAGTTACCAAAGATCAACAAGAAAGTCAGCTGGGATATCCAAGAAGCATGTATTAGGACCAAACCCACCACTGTATTTAAAGGAACTTTAGTTTGCGCATCTTACAATATTTTTATAAAGTACTGTAATTCATGGGGTGGGGCATGTGACAGAGACAGACTAACCCATGTTTGTTATTTGCATTAAAATTATTTTGGGTCTCTGTTTAAAGAATTCAGATAATGTTTGTGTGTTGTGTGTTCGTGGACCTGGATGCAGAAGCAAGATGCCTCCTGCTCCCTTCTGCCTTCTGCCAAGCAAACAGGCTGACATTCTAGTGTGTTCCCTGTGAACTGAAGCTGGATGTGGACAGCCCGAACTTGTACCTACCATGCCCAAATGTAGACCCGCCACACACAGCCACCCTCTCTCCCCCAGGAGCTCTATAAGCAAAACCACCCAAGTGGGGATTGTCACTTACCACATAGCAACGCAGAGGTGACAGGGAAGTGCTACAGAAGCTGAGAGCTTAATGTTGACTCTTGTTTGGGGACAAGTGTGATTTCAGGCAGTAAGATGCTATCTAATATTCCTTCAGGGCAGTCTTTCTTCTGTTTTCTATAACTCACAACTGTACATGAAGAACTGTACAACCAAATTCCCCTAAGCCACCTTCCCTATGAAGGTAGGACCTAGAGTCAGATTCTGGAGTGGGGGTGAGCCGTGGGAGATCCCATTAACACGGTGACATGAGCCCTGCCTGGCTGTACAGGTCTACTATCCCAGTTCTCAGGAGGCCAAGTTCAAGATCTGCCTGGGAAATTTGGTGAGACCCGGGCTGGAGGTGTAGCTCAGAGACAAGGACTTGCCCAGAATACAGGGCACTGGTTCAGGCCTCAGTGCTGGGAGTGTGGGAGGGGATTGGGGTGATGGTGGCAGTGAATGTATAGATTTTATGGCAAGCAACCAGTGGCTGACAGGTCATCCCAGGATAAACTCCACCCACTTCCATCGAGAGGTTGGTGTAGTGGCTGCCTCACACCTGTACACAGATCTTGGTGGATGTGATGTGCATGGTGGAGCACTCTCTGAAAACTCTCAGCGATCACATGAGATCCTTTCTCAAAAACAAACATCTTCGTGATCTTGGAGCAAATGGCCCCATGTGTCCTTCTTTTCTTTCTTCTTTTTTTTTAAACACAGGTTCCTGGAATTAAACTTAGATTCTTGTGTTAGCAAGGCAAGCAAGGACTTGATCTACTGAGATGTAGCCACAGCCCAAGCTGAAGGATTGGTTTTTGTTTTTTGTTTTGTTTTGATTTGGTTGTTTGAGAAAGGAGAAAGACAACATGGACACAAAACTTAAAATATTTTGGTGGAAGAGCCAGCGATACCCACCACCCTCCTGAGTGGTGATGGATAGCACTAGCAGCAAAGACCATCCCCCTCCGCCCCCCTCCCCTCCCCACCCCCACCTTTGGGAAAATCTGCTGATGAAGTTGTGGGAGTTACTCCTCAGTGTAAGTCTGCTACCAACAGAACACAACCTTCACCGATTTCTCTTCATCTCAATGTATGCATTATTAGTCATGGGGCTTTGTTTCATTTTTTTCCCCTGGAGGCATACTCCTGCATTGAGATACATTTATAGTTTGTGATTAGATTCCAACTAAAAAATTTACCACACAGTGGCCCTATTTATCTGTAGGTTCCACACCCATGTGTCCTGGATTCAGTCACGCTCCAATAAAAGAAAAAATAGGGGGGCTGGGGAGGTGGCTCGGAGGTTACGAGTACTGGCTGCTCTTCCAGAGGTCCTGAGTTCAATTCCTAGCAACCATATGGTGGCTCACAACCATCTGTAATGAAATCTGGTGCACTCTTCCGCCTTCAGGCATACAAGCAGGCAAAACACTGTATATAAATAAACAAATAAACCTATAAAAAGGATATCCCATGTTGGGTCCCACGGATTTCTGTGCAATGCTTCTCAGCTGATAACTCAGGTGCATCCTGTTCTCTAGTCCTGCCTTACAGCCCCGGCCTTGCCCACTTGTCCTTGCCCACTTGACATCAATATCTAGCATGAGGAAAACACAAGCTCTTACACCTGGGGTTTCTCCACTGTGCTGTAAGCCTGTATATAAGGCTGCTCACTCCTTACGGCACACACACAGGCAGACATACAGACGCAACACACACACACACACACACACATTCTCTCTCCTGGCAATAAAGGCAGCAGACACATTCTCTTAGCACAAACAGACAAACAGCCAGACGTGTCTTTCTTTCCCGATACCTCAGACTTGTTCATAGCACAGACACCACAATCCCATCCAATAAAATGTATCAGGGTGTATGTTTGTATGCTGTGGTGTGTGTGTGTCCACAGGTGGATGGCAAGGTGTCTTTCCTCAATTGCTTTCCACTCCTTTATTTTTAAATTAATTTATTTTAAAGTTGGTTAAGAATGCATACTGCTCTTGCAGAGAACCTGAGTATAGTTCCAGCAATCATGCGGTGGCTCAAAACTGTCTGTGGCTCCAATTCCAGATGATCCAACGCCCTCTTCTGGTCTCCGTGAACATCAGGTGCACGGTTGGTGCTCAGACATACTACAGTTTTTAAAAATCCACACCTATAAAACATGAAATTAAAAAAGTGCTCTGGATGCAAGTGTGCTTGGTTCATAGACACACACACACACACACACACAACACAGTTTTCTACAAGGGGCGTGTGCATCTGTGCATTTGGCTCTTTGAGTCTGACCTCTGCCCATCAAGTCCCCTGGCCACTAGATTCCAGCAGAGTAGGCTGTGCATCTGTGCATTTGAGTCTGAGCATTTGGCATGTTTGTCCTTGTCAGACACATGCAAGGGGAGGCTCTGGTTTGGGTGCAAACATCTTTGAAGCCATTTCCAATGGACACACTGTGAAGAGTGTTTTGTGCATTTTTCTTGGGTGAGTTTTCCTAGCAGGTGCTTCATGCTGTCTCTCTGGGCAGAGTTCTTGGCCGCAGTACACTGATATTGAGGGTGGAGAATTCTCTGGTGAGGGCTGTGCTAGACACCCGCATAATTCCCCCAGCATCTGTGGCTTCCTGGATGAACACAGGACACTCCCATGCCACTATGTCACAACAAAATCATCTTCAGACATTGCTAAATGTCCTCTGTGCAGAGCTGGGGCACAGTTGTCCTGGATGGCCCCTGCAATGAGGTGTGTGTGTGTGTGTGTGTGTGTGTGTGTGTGTGTGTGTGTGTGTGTTTACATGTGTTTGTTAGTCTCTGCAGAGGCCAGAAGAACATGTTGGATCCCTTGGACCTGGAGTTAGAGAGTTCTTAGCTGCCTGATGTGGGTTCTGGACACTGAACTCCGGTCCTTTGAGAGGGCAAGTGTTAACGGCTGAGCAGTCTCCGCTGCTTGGGTCTCATCTCTTTACCCATCCATCTATTGATGCAGATCTCATGTTATCCATGGGAGACCACCAACAGAAAAATTGGATCTAACAGGCTTCCCAGAGGCAGCAGTTGTCTTCACCACTGACAGATGAGGCAGAACAGGGGAGTGTGGACTGGGTGTGGACAGGTGCTGGGACCAAGGCCCTGCCTCTGGGAGAAATGACAGGGCTGAATGAAGAAGACCTTCCTGCAGGGCCTGCAGCCATCTTGAGAACTGCAGACAACTCAGTAGCCTCCATACCATAGAGAGGCCTGGCCTGCAGGCTGCATCCAGGTCCGGCCGTGAGTTGTAGTCACCACCAGAATCCCTTTAAAGGGACTCTTCCTCCACATTCCAGTCAGCCTGCCAGCTTGTTTGTGACATGGATACGGCCCAGACAGACAAGTGGCAAGGCAGGGACTCCAGCAGTGCAATTCCTGGGTGGGTTCCTCCTGCCCCGTCTCTGTGGCTAGAAGGCTCTAAAGGATTTGCTGGCTGAAATTAAGTTCACTGTCTGGAGGTGTGGAAGATGGGCACAGGCTTGTTATATGGGAGCCTTAGGGCTGAGCCCCTGGAATCTGCTGCCTTCCCAAGCCTTCCCAAAGGGTGTTTACAGTCCTGATTACTTCTCAGGATTCAAGGCTCCGCAGATGAGCAGGTTGGCTAAAATTAAGGGGGTAGTTATGACCCAAGGCACCTGAACTTGCCTCCTTCTCAGTCATGGCTCTTCCTCCCTGAGGGACGATACATTGTGTCCACAGGTGTATTTGTGCACGTACAAGCATACAAACAAATAAATGGCAAGGAGTAGAAGGGGGAGTGTGTCAGGGAAGGAAGGGCCATAGAGGGGGAGAGAATAAGAGAGTAATGTGGGAAAGATGGGCACAGAGGCTTTTTTCTCATATGCAGAACCCGTGTGCGCACGTGTATATGTGTGTGTGTATGTGTGTATGCATGTGTGTGTGTGTGCACGCATGCTGAGAGAAAATAAAAATGTTATGACTTAAATGGTGCACTGACACACACTTGGGAGGTAGAGGCCGGAGGATCAGAAGTTCAAGGTCAGGCTGGGGAGATGTTTCAGCAGGTAAAGGTGCCAGCTGCCAAGCCTGGCTGACAATGTGAGTTCAGTTCCTGGAACCACATGGTGGAGAGACTTGACTCCTTCAAGCTGTCCTCTCACCTTCTCAGAAACACATACCATGTACCGTGGCACACCACACCACACACCCACACCCACACCCACACCCACACCCACACCCACACACACACACACACACACACACACACACACGTAACAAATGTTTGTAAAAAAGTTCATGGTCATCCTTGGCTATGTGTTGGGTTAGAAGCCAGCCTGGGCTACATGAGACTATCTCAGCACACATACTCATAGAAGAAAAGTAAATAGTTGGGTGTTTGGTGGTGCACGCCTTTAATCCCAGCACTCGGGAGGCAGAGACAGGCAGATCTCTGTGAGTTCGAGGCCAGCCTGGTCTACAGAGCGAGTTCCAGGACAGCCTCCAAAACAATACAGAGAATCCCTGTCTCAAAAAAACCAAAAACAAAAAAAGAAAAGAAAATACATAAATATAATGCCTTGATTTAATATTGTGGAGCCAAAAATACTTTCTATAAACATGAAGCTCATTTCATAGTTTAGAAGTTTTAAAAATGCATGCCAATCCTTTGAATTGGTATTTGCTTCATTTGGGGCTGCTAAACCCTCCTTACTTTATTAGCTGTCCCTTCATAAGGCCACTTAACAGTTCAAAGTGTTTGACAGC